TTTGGATTTAAATGAATGTTTTCCAATGTGTATATTTTTTATGAATTTTTTTAAAGATTGGATGTCTTCTCAAAATAAAACGCGACTTTATATATGAATTTTTTAAAAATATAATCGGAACCTTACTTAATTTTTTTAAAAATGATGTATGATGAACCAAAATATAAACATATTAAAAACTATATAGAGCGAGTTTCCATATTTATTATGTGTGTGTGTGTGTATATATATATATATATATTATATTTTTATTTTAATTTGAAGAGAGGGGACCATAAATTGGCTTCGTGAGAAAAGCATAACCATCCACGACCCACGACAAGATTCGAGGCAATTAGGTGCATTCCACATGGGACTTTAACTTAAATTATTTAGGTTTATTTATTTATTTCTCTTTAATTATTCCAATTTATATAATTTAATCAAGTTGTGCTTATACATACCGATCGCCCTCCTCTTTCATGAATATACATTAGACTTTTCCTTCGACTTTAAATATAGCCGATGATTGATTGGTCCATTTATTTATTATATTTATCGAAACCTGTTTTTTTATTAATATACGTGACATAAGATTTATAATTAATAAATAGAGAAAAATATATATTATAGTTAATAAATTTTTTTCATTTCAAAGAAAAGCTTTATCATGCTTTCCAAGCTTGCATGCCTTTGGCGTTCATCTATAGCCCAACTTCCCATTTTCTCCCTTTTCTACTTCTCTAAGCAAAAATAATTTATATATAGTTTCTATAACATATATATATATATATATAGCATATGCATAGATGTACAAAATCTAACTAAATATAATTATGTTAAAAATAGTATTTAAAAAACAAAATATCTGAACTAAAAAAATCCAAACGGACCCCAAAATATCTCCCTAATTACATCTATAATTTTTGTATTTCGAAAGAAACTATTTGAACTAATCCAATAAAATTGTATTATTATCGTTATATATATATAATACGACAAAAAAAAAGTCAGGTTGGTCAAATATAAACATGGAAGATTTATGGGCCGACCAGAGATAATCTGATGTAACATTTCGGAATAAATATTTATGACTTATATAAATCGAGACATATTACGATAAAATCGGGTACATCTCTTCATACGAACTATTGGATAATGATAGTATGAATAAAATATATTAATATATACAAATAATATCTAAACATCTATACAAAGAATGACGTCAAATCGTTCGACCGTTTTCATGCCTTATTTATTCCTATTAAATTAGCCAATTAATGAATTAACAACTAAACATTTAATTATCAGTTAGTCCAGGGATTGAAGCAAGCTGTCTTTTTCTCGTTTCGAGAGCTCGTGAACTGAGACGTTGGTTAGTGATAATTTATAACGAATATTTAAATATGTTATGATTATTTGTTAGCTTATAAAACTTTGTGAAATGTTTTTATTATATATTCATCTAAAAATATATTTTTATCTAATATAATAAAGAATATATATATATATATATATATGTGCAAATATTATGCGCATATCTTTCTCGATTTATTTTTTCGTTTAGAAAGCTGATGGGCTCTATAAGAGATAGTATCCGCACATATAGATCAATTTTAATATAGAAAATAACAAATTAATATTACAACTTTTAGACAAGGCTAATCATTTCTAAAATCTTTTATACTACAAAATAAAATAAAATAAAATAAAAGAATATAACATTATCTAAAGGAAATGCATTGATTACGTGATATTTTAGAACTAAACTTGTGTTATTTTTTGTATCAGTTGGTGGGTTATTTTTTTTTCCCGTAATTGGCAATTTAACACGCAAACCCATTTCTCTAATCAGATACCATTAATTACTATTTAATTTGAACTTAGTTAGATCTTGGCATATCAGGTTGCCTTATCGCCATGTTCGACCTTTGATAATTATCGAATCGAGAGTCAAGAGCAACAACTGCAACTTCCTTGTTTGGTGGAACTGTGTTCTTTAATTAGGTCAGTATAATAAATTAAATAAAAGTATAACCAGAAGAAGCACGATGATCGAACACATATGTTTTGTTTTTAGTTATTATTTTTTTCATTGAGTTGTAATCCTGTTAAACCGTGAGACAGAGGAGAAAATGGATTTTAGATATATCATAAAAAATTATTGTGAATAATATAAATGACCCACATAACTCAAACGTTTTAAATTTATATTATAAATTTAGTTTCTTTATTATGTATATATTCACAATCTTTGTATGTAGTATAAATAAATTATAATTAACGTGGTATGGATTACATGATAATGTTATTGTATCGGATCTTTCAAATTATAGTTTAGAATTCTCTAACCATTTTTGTATCGCGTATTTGAAGAAAAAAACATTTTGCTTACGGTTATGTTGGCTAAAAATACGTTTTTTTATACGTATATATAATTTGAACTCGATGAAATTTTTAGGTCAAATAGAAAAGAACGGAATTACTTTTATTACTACATCTCTTCTTCTTCTTGTCGAATTATAATGAAAATGACTCACATATTTATAGGAAAACTATGAGACAAATAAAAAGGAAATAGAAATAAATAAGATCGATACACAATATTTGATATAATATTATGTCCATTATTATTTCTAATCATATCTTAAAATCAATATTTCCTTCAATCACATATTTATTTTCCTATTTCAACAGTTTAATCAATAACTAGTTATATAGATATAGATTTATTTCGGATTTCGTATAGGATTCGACGATAATTGCATTTTTTAATTGTATTTGATATGATTACACATCATGTTTTTTCCAATTAGGGTTTGTAGGCAGAGTAGATAAACAAAAACATCGATAAAGCTTGTTTTTCTCGTCACAACGAATTATATATATATATTGAAATTTATAGAAAATCTATATAAAATTAGGGTTTGTGTGTTACTATAGAAATCGATTTGTCATCATTTATAATTCATTCGTTGAAAAATATAAAGAATTTACGTAGTATTAAAGTTTGCATACACTCGTCACCATCTTTAAAACCATTTGAACCGTGGTTCACTAGAAAACATCATTTTAGGGTAAACTTCGATAGGATCCAAGACAAAATACAAACATACACACACATATATATATATATATATACACACACACACGCATGTGCACACAAAATGCCGATACAAACACACACACGCACATATGACATGTCTAAACGGAAACAAGTATGCAATGGATGGCAACGATTCAAGGAGAAGGGCACGTGGACAGGGGAGAGCAGACAAAGAGCATCTTTTAAGACATGGGTTTCCAACCCCAAGAGTCATGCAGTTCAAAGATACAAAATAATTTGACTCTCTCTATCTCTCTCTCTCTCTCTCTCTCTCTCTCTCTCTCTCTCTCTCCTTCTTCGCGTCATATATATTTATTGTTTACCGATCATCACACTCTCTCCAACGTATATATGCGTGCATATATAGATACATATATTACATGTATGTTACATTTTGTTTCACTGTTATGATCCAATTTTTTTTTTTTTATAACGTGGTAACCCCAATTACTACTCTTTCGGACGCGTTGGATAGGTTAACCTCACTCACGTGTACGAACACACATCAAATATGAGGCAGCCGTAACTGATGGATGAGAGATGAATAGACAAAGAGTCGAACTCACACCCTCTCGGATGCATGACAACAAAGTCCTTACCAACTTTTGTAGGGGTTTTCCGTTATGATCCAAAACTTGTCAAAAGAAAAAGAGAGGGGTCTTAACGGTGTTAGAAAGGATAATATATTTATTTCGTATGTCATTTTGCTGAAAAAGATTAGTTCATAAGCATTGATATGAATCAACTTCAATAATAAAAATCTCTAGTTGAATATCTTTTGGCATTCCATATGTGGAGATTGAACGTCTCTGTAGATGTCTTTTTTAACTACTTTGAGAAAAAAAATTAGATAACAAATAAAAATAAAATATACAATCAAATCACAGATGATTTTTCTATTATTTTTTTTAAATCTAACATTATATTTCGATAAAAGTCTATATATTATCATCATCGTTTTATGATCATTGATAACCTTATGGTTTGCGGATTCTAATAGAATTTTAAACCTAAAAAAATCAAACTCTAAAAATATGCAATTTCTCATATAATAAAGGGATTTTAAACCCAAAATTGGGTGACTCAACCGGTAAAGAAGGGAGCAAAGCTCCTTTCCAATCCGGGTTCGAGTCCTCATTTGGAGAAATACATTCAGACGGACTTTATCAATTTTCTGGAAGATGTAGTCGGGTCAAATATCCGGTGAACTTCCGGATTATAAAAAAATAAAAATAAATAAAGTGGTTTAAACTAAATATAGAAAAACCTACTAAAAAAATAATTAATTAGCCTATTTTTCTTATTTAACCTAATTTTATTGTATTTATGTATATATTTTAAAAAAAAAGTTACGTTGTTAGTACTATCTTATATTAATTAATAACCATAAACAATCATGTTAGCTAACTAAAAACTTTTGGGAATGATGAGCAGTGTTATTGGTATACAGTACTAGTCTAAGAATATTCGAAACTATTATTTATTTTTTTCATGCCTAGACAATTAAATTCAGATTATTGTATAATATAGTTTATGAAATAAGGATATTTTTTGTAATAATCCAACTCAAACTTAATATGTTTTAAATTACGTTTCACGATTACTGATGACACAGTTTACCCACTTACATGCGATGGTATGTATAAGTGTATAAATGTTTATATTTGAGGATAGATATATACGTAAAGAGTGTGTGTGTGTGTGTGTATCTGTGGGGACCAAAGCACCGCCCGGACATGGAAGAAGTCATAGCACAAAAACGAAAGCCCATCTCTAGATCTCTCTCTCTCTCTCTCCAACTTGCTCAAAAACTACCAATTAAAAGCAAGGCCACGACAAAAAAAAAAAGAAGACCAATATTTATTAAAAAAATAAAAAAAGGAAATAAAAACCAAAAGCCCTTAATTTCACCTTCTTCCAAACCCCCAAAGTACAAAGCTAAAGGAGGAGAGAGAGAAACCCTATGGAGCCATAGGAAGAAGATGAAGAAGAAGATCCAGCTCGGAGTTTGCTGTGAAACATCATTCTCTCTCTTCTACAATCACTCAGATCGTTTCTTAGTCTCCTCCGACCTCATCCACGATTTCTTCACTCCATCTTCACACATATATACATAGAATTATACATATATATACATATAGGTATATGGATCCGATGCAATCTCATGGGTCACAAAGCTCTGATCTTCCTCCTCCGTTCCACGCAAGAGACTTCCAATTACAACTTCAACAGCAACAGGAGCAACAAGAACAGTTCTTCCTCCATCATCATCAGCAGCATCAGCAACAGAGGAACTCCGACAATCACGAACGAGGTGGCATCAAGCTCGACCGCGAAGAAACCAGTGATGACATGGACAATAACAGCGGCGAGGGTATTGATGTAAATTTACACGGCAACTCCGGCGGCGGCGGACAGCAGCTCACCAGACGGCCGAGAGGAAGACCCTCCGGATCCAAGAACAAACCAAAACCACCCATCATCATAACGCGCGACAGCGCAAACGCGCTTCGAACGCACGTTATGGAGGTCGCCGATGGTTGCGATATCGTAGAAAGTATGTCCGTTTTCGCTCGCCGCCGTCAACGCGGCGTCTGCGTTATGAGCGGTACGGGGAACGTTACGAACGTTACAATCCGTCAACCCGGTTCACCTCCCGGCTCGGTCGTCAGCCTCCACGGCCGGTTCGAGATTCTCTCCCTCTCCGGTTCGTTCCTACCTCCTCCGGCTCCTCCAGCAGCCACCGGTTTGAGCGTTTACCTCTCCGGCGGGCAAGGTCAAGTCGTCGGCGGGAGCGTGGTTGGGCCGTTGGTCTGCGCCGGACCGGTGGTGGTTATGGCGGCGTCGTTTAGCAATGCGGCGTACGAGAGGCTTCCTATGGAGGAGGAGGAGATGCAGACGCCGGTTCACGGCGGAGGTGCCGGAGGGCCGATGGGGTCTCCGCCGCACCAGCAGCAAGGTTTGGCGGCCATGGCGGCGTCAGGGCTGCCGCCGAATCTTCTGGGCTCCGGTCAGCTTCCGCCGCCGCATGATCCGCCGTATTGGGCCACCGGAAGACCGCCGTTCTGATTGAATTCCGGCTTTGATAGCTTAACCAAGAGATTGAAGGGGCTTAACTACGGGGAAGATGACAGAACAAGATTGATATGACGGTGAAGGATTGGAGCTTCAAGGTATGTCTGTGGATCGACATTTGGTTAGATGAATCATGTTCTTTTTAGTTCGTAGATGTTCTTTTTCTCTGTTAATTTGTTGTGTAAGGGGTTTCCTTTGTTTTTCAATTCTCTTTTTATTGAATTTGATGGATAGTTTGTACGTTTGTTTTCCATTTAAGAATTACTATTTCCCAAAATTTCTTACGTTTTGGTTCCATTGCTGTAGTTTTTGTCTCATGAAAGATTGCATGCTAATTATGTTTTTATATATTGATCCGATAATAGGTTATATATATAAAAATTCTTTTCATGTAACTATATATATCTCTATTGACGTATAGATTGGATAATTAGCCTGTGATTACAAGCAACCCCAAGAACTTTAAGCCCACAAATATCCCATGCATGGATTTATTTACATATATGTTGTACTAATTATACAATTATATATACAGGGTCGAGCTAATTCATCTTTACCATCTTACTTAAACGTAGGAATTGGACTGTGTATTGATGCTATCAAGGCATCAATTTGATGTGAACTATAGTTGGCGTAAGTGTTTTTCTTTATATCTTAAAATGATTATGAACAGAAATTACGTACGGTACATTTAAATTTCAATATAAAGACTTTATATAGATTATGATCATCTCATAAGACAATGTATGCCCGCATATGTGATCAATGAATACATAAATCACATGCATTATATGTATCTATCTATTTACACATATAAACATTAACTACAAAATCTTAGCATTAGCATCTCTAGCTATGTTTCATCAATTAGTCTAACCAAATTGTGTTGTACGTACGTGTGATCGTGTACATTTCTATACATATATATAAAAGCTGGTAATGCCGGCGGCACAAATGGGAGGGGACTAACAATTTACGAGGAGAACAAGTGGGTATGGGTTTTTTATTTGCATGTTCTACGGACACACGCACATGTAGTATACACATATATGTGTGCGTGTGGATAAGGAGACAACGAAACTTGTTCAGCAACTGGGTTTACACGTGCATTGCTCTGAATACAATGCACTGCTAGGGGAGACCCTATATATATATATATATATATGCTTGTACACGTATTTGTATTTATATAACACAAATTATTCGATCAACGATCAAGGAAAACTTTATTAGAAAAAAAAATGAAATATGGGGATCATCCTACATCCTTGGACCCATGTTTCTACTGTCTATTTTGTGACAAAAATGTAAGACACGGGTTAATTTGCTTTGCTGTTATATATTATTGATAACCAGTTATTTTAAACAGACAAGTTTATTGTGGTGAAGAATTTTGATTACCAAAATAATCTTTTCCTAAATTCCCAATGAATATGCATGTAGTGGAATTATGATGTGGACCGTGCGTCTAGATTTGTTACTATATTGGTAACAAACAGTATTATTACAAATCATAAGAGTTAACTTTAGTTAGATTCAAACAACCTAACCAAATTTACCCTAACTTTGTAGTTAAACCGATAAAACGGAATACAAAACAAACGTCTTTAGAGAAAGGATGTATATTTTAAATCACATGATCGACCCCTAAACCCGAGATTAATACACACGTTACTTAAAAAAAAATTAACCGAGTTTCTGGACCGACAGTCCCTTTTAAATCCCTATCTCCTATAGTAATATTTCGAAAACGGGCAAATAATGAGCGTAGCAAATTTTTTTATTTATTAAAGATATATTTCACTTTTATTATAGAACCAACCAACCAAACCGATCAAATGCAACGACAAAACCACGAAACCCCGATTGATCGAAACTCACAACCTCTGGACTTTATCTGCCTTAACCAACGGATTCGCCTTGGCGATAGCATCACGACCAGCTTCTCTGTAGTTGAAGCTACACTCGTGCTTCTCTGGGTACCTGTGTTCACCACAGAACGTGCTCCCGCACCTGCACTTGAAACCCATCACCCTAACCTTCTTATTACAGCTCGAGCACCGGTTCGGTGGAGGTCTCGACGGCTCACTGAACGCGGCTGCAGCCACGGGTGTTGGCTCGGTATCGACAATGGCTGCTTCCCCAGAAGCCGGGTCGGGTTTTGCAGGCTGTTGTGGAGGAGAGAGGAGACTGGTTGATGACGACGACTTAAAGGATGCTTTGGCCACGGCCTTCTGGTCCTCTTTGGCTCGGAGGTCCCTGTAACATTTCGAGCAGAGGTTCATGTTGGATGGTACCCCGAAGAAACCGCACCCATTGGCGCAGAGCTTGGGTTCAGACCGCGGGAAACTTGCACTGTCGTTTTGCTCCGAGCCCATCTTTAACTGTGTCCCCCCTTCTTCTCGATTTCACCTTTTCAAAACAAGACAAAGAATCAGTTTTTTTTTTTTTCTGACAGAAGATCTTTCGGATTGTCGGTTCCTATTATTATGATTGATATTAACAGCGAATTTAGCCCCAATGAATCAACAACCATTTCACAAGAACGATGAAGACATTAACGCCAATTCGACAGAATTTCACAAGACAACACATCGGTCATGTTCCTAACCGGAAAATCTCCACAGTCGAAATGGTTTCTCCGGTCTCTGCAGTAGCTAATACGACGTCTTACTTTTCATGTCAACCCAAAAAACGAAGGAAAATTCCCAGAGATCTTGGGAAATCCAAAACGATGAAATCTCACGCACCGATCCTCGGAATTTTATACCCAGAGTGGGATGTGAGTTCTTCATGAAATCAAAGTGAGAAAAAGAACCCAATTCTCAGAAAACATGTCTAGGTCATAGCCCAAGAGCTCGCATGTTTTTCCGGCGGAAACCACAAAATTCCAGCGATCGTTCGATCAACAACACAGCACCAAACACGAAATTCAAAATCTCGTTCATCAAACTGGACAAAGTCGAAGGTGATTCAGATTTACCTGTCTGGTCCGATCCCGGAGATTTCCTCCCACAGCCAAAGCTTTTCGCGGATTTCCGAAGAATTAATCTACAATTTCTCGGGTTTCTTACGCTGCCGTAGAAGATTAACAAGAATTCTTGGTCAGGTATAAGGAAAATTTTTCGATAACCTTCCGATTGATCGCAACAAGACCCTAGTTCCGTCGGGAGAGGGAGAGAGAAACACGCAACTTTTGTTGCCCACTACTTGTGTATATACTATATATATAACGTGTATAAGGCACGATTTCCTTTTTTTCTTAATGTCGGTGAAGGGATCAGGTACTGACGGTTCACCGTGCGCCTGATGAATTATAACCGTCCGATGTTAGTACGGACGTTATCTGACGTCAGAATCTGAGATCGAACCGCTGCTAATGAGAGAAGGGTCCGCGTTTTCCTTTTTAAACCACATAACAAAAAAAAACTTTATTTGCCTTTTCCTCGTCATGTTACCTTTTTTTCAAGAATTAATTCCCATTATGAGATCAGATTTTTAAGGGATAATTACAAGATTAGTTGCAACAAAATTGTGATTAATGTGAATAATTTTGAACTGACCATAACACAAATGGTAATTAATAATATGGCATGACTTGGGGGGGGGTCTAAAACAATGTTTTGGTGTGTTTGTTTATGCAAATAATGGAGGCATTATGGAAACTTATAAAACATAAAAGATACGACTTATTCGAACTTATGGAACATAAAAGATGTGCCTTATTCGATGTACAATGAAATTGACCATTAATATATTTTAATTTAATTTTTGGTAATGACTATAATAAAAAATAACAATAAAATAAAACTATTCATATATATATATATATATATATATTTCATTAAATAAAAATGTTAAATACAAATAGCATGAACTGACCCATTGTTAAATGATCTAAGTTAAGGTTTTTTGTCCGTTGCAAACCAATCCGCCATGAGCGAAGGTTCGGTGGAACCACAATTCGGCGAGTGTTTGATTTAAATTTTATTATTTTTTAATAATTTTATTACATTTTTCATGAGATCCGAACCTATACAATCCAAGTCTTTTTTGATAATTCGGAAGTTATCGAACATTCGTTTTAACTATATTTCTAATAGAATAGGAGAAATTTACGTGGATATCTCATCTCTTCTTATGTTTTGATTTTAACCCATGATAAAAAAACATGTTTTTAATGTTATCTTACCACTAAACTATTCAAATTGAGTTCGACGATCCAAATTGAACATAATTTTTCCGATTTTATGCAAAATGAACCGAACGAGACGAGTTTTAAACATGTTTTTTATTTTCACGATCCAACCCATATTTTTTGAGTTGGATTAAAAAAATTCAAGTAAAAAAAATGAGCCGAACGAGACGAGTTTGTGTCGTCCCGTAGAAAAATATGTTGTCATTAGAGGAGTTTTCTAGACGTTTGAGTATATAGATGAACTAAAATTAAATTATGAAATTGAAATTAATTAGAAAAAAAGTGAATAATAAATGATGATTTTTTAAATTTTTTTGTTTTATTTTTTTAAAATTTTGTTCTTTGTTAAATACCAATCCATTGTAAGTCTAATCGAGTTTTAAAGCCTAATTGAATTTTTTTAGTCTACTTTTAACGCAGTATTTGAATGACATTGACACTTTTATTATTATTATTATTAACATAAATTCATCAAGATAAAAAAAATTATATCTTAGATATAAATGTAATCAGATAAAAATCCCCAGTAATATAAAAAGTTAAGGTCAAATTGAATTTTTTTATAAACTAAAAACAAGTTTTTCTAATTATAATAATCTATCGATATTTTTAATATCTAAAAATTAATGATAGTTCATTTAAAACATGTCAAATAAATGATGAGTTGGATATTTAGTTGTTTTCACCAAATTGTTTCAAATCTTATTTTTTTATGTAATAGATTGATAATAAAATTATTTCCAATACCTATAGTTTTTTTTCTCCTTATTTTAGTTTCTACGCATACATGCGATTATATCATTGGGATCTAGTTTTAGAAGGAATTGGTGGGCCCCAGGTTGAACCGAACAAATCGAATACAACCGTTAGTGGCATAATCGAAAATAATTCAAACCTCAGGGGTAAATCTAAACACCGCCGGAATTCAGGTCTCGTCGAACGACAAGCAAGCTCGGAATCCCAGACACCTCGAAACCCCCCACGCCGAGAAATCGAGACTCCCCTGTCTATTGAATTGACGACAATACCCTCACGCAACGTGTTCTTAGGGGCATTTCCGTCTTTTCAAATATCCCTCTAGCAGGTCCAATTAAATTCAAAATTCCCGAGTCGTTACAAAAACGGGAGCGTCGTCGTCACTGTGTGCATTGACTTGTTGTACTTAACACTGCATCAAGGGTGTCGTTTTACGTTTTGGGAAGAGGAAATTATTGCCGTTTTGCCACTACAGTGAAATCTCATAGCAGCGAAATTTGTGCCGTTTTTTCTTTTCTTTTCTTTTCTTTCTTTCTAGTTTTATTTCCTCTCCTTCCGCTGCTTCCTTCGTCAGAATCGATGAATCAGAGATTATGAGGAAATTAGGGTTTTGATCTGATCAGATTAATTGTGTTGTAGTAGCGAGGAGAGGTCCCTGCTGCGTTACTGGGGGATTGGAGTTCGTGTTCTTTGAGAGCGGAAGTGATCGTTGGAGGTTTTGAAGAGAGAGCGAAATAGAGATAGCAATGGAGATGGAGGAGGACATGGAGATTGAACCGATGGCTTTGGAGGTGAGCGAGGTCGATCTGGAGTACGAGTTTGATGCGGCTCGGTGGTACGATTTCTCGCGGGAGGAGTCGCCGGCGGAGGCTCGGGTCGCCGAGCTCTGGTTCGAGACCGCCCAAACGTACCCGCCTTCTCGTGAGTATCGAACACTCTGGTACCCCGAGTTTTCGTGTTTGCTTCTGTTTTGTTTTGGGGATTTGACCATGCGATTTGAGCTTACGGGGAGTGTAAGGGCATAGTGGATTTTGAAATTCTGTGGTCTTTCAGGATTTGATTTTGTCTCTGTTTGATCACTGGAGATAAATGTCCGTAATTTGAATGCGGTAAATGACGTTACAAATTGGTCTGGGATACCCACTGCTCATGCATTCCTATCAATCTGCAATGGGTATGGCTGAATTTGACTCGAAAGTTATGGGTTCGACTGAAATTTTATTCTCAATGTGATAATTCGTCATATTGTAGGAACTTCTTTTCTATGTTTAGGAGTTCATTGGCATTCGTGCTTCGGGAGGATTGCAATTTCAATTTTATCCAAGAATAGCCGCATTTTCTCTGCTTTACTTTTAATAACAGTGAATAACTGTTCCGAGGTTCCTACCTTTTTATCATATCCCCGTCCTGCTCGATGCTAAGGGAGAAGATAATGAGAAACGCAAAGCGTCGATGTCTATATACCTTCGTAGATTGTAGTTTTGAAGGATTTAAGTGATTTTTATGTTCTTTTATTTTTTTTTCAGCTTTTGTAACAAAATTGTTACTTAGAGAGGATCTTTCTGATGACAAGACTGAGCTCTCAACAGAATCACAAGATGGAGAAGCTACAGCAGACATTTGTGATACAGACGGAGAAGTTAGGCAACTTCCAGATTATTTCGCCACAGGTATGAATAAGACAGGTGAATATATATATATATATATATATATAGGTTATTATTTAGCCATTAATCGCAAGTTACCATTATTTGGATTCGGATAACCAATGTAGAAGCAAATGCAGAAAATTATGGACCCATGTTTAGATGTTTTAATGTCTTGTTTTCTTACAGGAAATGGAATCCGCTCTGGAGTTTTTACCACCTTTCAAGCTGGAAACTTGAAGAAAGTTCCAAACCAGCCTTTGTATAAAGGTGATAACTTTACTGTTGTGAATTCCTTGAATGTACATGTGTGGGTAAATTACTTCGGATGTTTAAATACTGTTTAATTATTATGGAAACCTATTTATGCTTCATCCTCTTTGTCTTTTAAGTACTTTTCTTTTTACTACACAATCAACTTGACTGTATTTGGTGTTCTATTAACTGGTCAAGCTTATTGCCTCTCTATGAAGTTTCTAATATTTTCTGTATTCTCAACTGTTTAATGGTTCTGTCTGTTCAAGGTCTCACTCTTTCTACTTCTATTAGGAACAACATTTAACAATCACATACACACCGATAAACAAAAATGTCGGCCAAAGTTAAGTATCAAGCCCATAGCTAGGAGCTCAACATTGATGAAACCTACTGCTAGTCAACTAGCTAAACAAAATCATTCCAGGTGACTTTTTGGAGCTTTTAAATCTCGGTATTTTCTTTCTGTCAACTCAATTCAATTGATAATACTTTGTTTGTTGGTCTAATAGACTCCATATGCAAGTGGATCAAATTAATGAGAAAGGCTTATATGGTTCGTCTGGGTCCGAAATTCAAGCTGCCAAAAGGCAGAAGCTTGAAGAAGGTCTACTTCGTAAGGTGGAGCAGTTAGCCATTATAATTTTCCTTCTCTTTTCTTCTAGGCCTGATGATTGTCATCAAATATTTTCGAGGTCCTTACTAACAAAGCAATAGGTATACCAAGACTGCATGTTAAGTGAATTAGTGGCCATGATAGTAGTTTTTGTTATCTTTGCTACACGTGTCTAAAAACGTGGTATATATCACCTGCTGACAAGTTCTTTGTTGCAGGTTGGTGATATGAAACAGGAGATAAATTTTGTCCATAAGACATCCAAGAAGGTTAACTAACTATTCTTTGAATTCTTCTGAACTTGCTTTTTTATTCTGGAATTCGTTTGCATTTGGAAACGTCAAAATTTCTGGAAGCCTGGAAGGGAGCTCATTTTGAGTTATAAATCAGATAACCAGTTGTGGAAGGGTTTGGCAGGATGCAACTCTTGATAGGAACATGCAACATACAAGGACAAAAATAACCATCCCACAAGAACCTGACCTTGCAACGGCGCATAGGGCTGGCAGGATACGGTTAGTTCCTGGAATATTGATCGACAATAAGTTACATTACAGGAAAAGCCCTATCTTACTGGCTGTTGCTTAATGATTATTTCAGGCCCAAGAAAGACGTCAAGACTGAACAGACCTCGACAGCTGTATATAGATTCAAAGCACGCCCCTTTAACCGAAAAGTCGGTATCTGCTGTTAGAAAACCTTTATAGAGATGCAGTTCATTAATGTATCTCAGCTCAAGCATGTGTCTGTGATCTGTAGATTTTTGAAGCTCCATCGTTGCCTATCCGGAAGAAGAGCACTCCAAAACTACCGGAATTCCAGGTAAACATCAGATACTAAATTTATCGAAGTTGTTTCATTGTTCCTAATATATTTTGCTGGCGTAACACTTTAACTTGTATTGCTGTGGCTTTTCTTAGGAATTTCACCTGAAGACCTCAGAAAGAGCTATGCAACATTCGTCGGCTGTTACGACAACGTCATATAGGTGCAATGATTCCGATAAGGTAATATCATCAGAATTGTCTGGAACGGATATCTTGTAAAACTAATTAAACATTTTTTTAAAAGGCCAGTTCATGTTATCTGCCGTCTCGTGATCTAAGTGACTATAACTATCATAAGGATAACTTGATCATTCTTAAAGTGATGCTACTAAAGAAATTGAAGTTTCTTATTCACAGGGATCAGAGAATCCTAATACAACTTTTGTTCTCGACGGCTTTAACAGGGAAACTAGGAGGTACTACCAATAAAATTACAGATAATGTAGAAATATATAAGAGAATGCTTGATTTCTTTTAAAACTTATTCTTGATTTTAATTGATAAGCAATCTGAATATTCTGCAGACCAAACGCGATGGATATATCTAAGCATGATGTCTCCAATGGAAATTATGTTTTCAAAGCTTTCCGTCATAACAAGAATGTATTATGTTTTCTCGAGTTTCGTTTTGTATTTCACTAAATTCATGTCTATGGGTGCACTGCTAAGGTTTCGATTTCTGTCAAACAGGTACTTTCAAGCAGAGGAGACATCGGAGGTCTCAGAAATAACAAGAAAGAAACAACTATACCCTTGGTATGGTATCCTTGAGATGATTATTTTACTTCATATTATACTTGTCTACATGTCTCTATTGTTGTCTTTTGCTTGAGGAGCACTCGTGTTTGGGATTTGGATCTCAGGAAACTAATTATCATATGGAAAAGAGGCTTCAACAGGATCTGCCAGCTGACCTTTTCAGTAAGGTATGATAGCTTGGTAATGAGCTATATACACTGATTTCTTGAATATTCTTTCCTCAAAGAAGTTTCCACTGGATGGAAATGGGTAACTTGTGGTCTTTGTATATTGCACTCTACTTATCTGTTAGTTTCCTAGCTTTTTTCTTACTCGATATCTTGAATTGCAGCTCTCCATAACATCCGAGCTCCAGCCAAACAATGGATCTCGCTCAAGGTTTCGTCAACCGACATCTGGACTAGCCAAGGTACATCATGTGAATGCAACCACATTTGATTTTTTTTTTTCTTTTGAAGATAAACCTTTTTGAGTATAATCATATTGAGTTGCAATCTCTTCTTGGTGGCAGGGCTCAAAGGAAAATAGACCGAACGTGCATGAGGTAAACTCCTAACTAGAAAGCAAAACTGCTGCAACCAATTCACTAGAGCCTGGCTCTTTTTAATTTTTTTGAGCTGATAACGAAAAACCGTTACAGATAACAAGCAAGGCTATGGGGACACCAATCTCTTCAGCTGGGCTCCAGACACAATGTGATAACAGCGATATCATTCCCAGAATAAGGCAGCAGTGGACTGATAGGAGGTAAGCTACTTGCAACCAGTGTCTTCTATACGAATTCGGTATGTACTGGCTACTAAAAACTGCGTTAATAGTACCGAGTTTTTAAGATCTGTATCGGGTCGCTCTTGACATATAACTCCACTTACAACCGACATATCGTATAGAAGTTAATATATATCTCGCCTATGGTTTTCGGGTTTTGGCCAGGAGGAGCTTAGGCATTCGCCTGCGGTAAGAAGCTCTAAAAGAGTTGCTCTGGAAATCATCATCTTTTTTTTTTTCAGGTACTCCAAGAGAGACCACAAAGTCTCGGAAGAAAGCATAGCAGATCCTCTCATAATTGAGTCCCTTGGTTCATTTCTTGTGTAAAAAGCTCTAAAAACACAGCATGAACTGTTCAATTCAAATCAAACAATGAAAAAAGAAAAGAAAAAAAAAGCGACATGTAAATCTGATTACTCTTCGCTCTTAATACACAGCTCAATAGGTTCTACATCTCAATAACTTCTTCTCAGTTCTCGATTGTTTTTAGAATTGTAAACTACTCTTATTTTAGTTGTATATTAGTTATATATTAGTCGTAATAAGGTCGCAAATTTTTTTTTTTTTTCGGTGGTGTACACTGAAATTGCTGCGACCCAAGTGGGTTATTTGAGTAATATTCCCTAGCCACACCCACAATACCAAAAAGTAAGTTAAAAATGGCGTCGCCCGGACTCGAACCGGAGACCTTCAGTGTGTTAGACTGACGTGATAACCAACTACACCACGACACCTTATACTAAAATGGAAAACCTAATCAAGACCTTATTTTACTATTCTTGTACATCAAAGTTCATATCATAATATATTTTTATTTCTTGACCAAGCATGGACATTCATAAAGGCAAGAGGAGAAAACCGACATAAAAGCTAAAACACATATAGCTCAAGAAAAATCAATGGAAGCATCTCGAAAAGAAAAAAACATATTTTATGATCTTAATTAGCATCCTCTTTCGTAGCCAACTTGCCATCCTCATCCTCCTGCGCCTTCCTGAACAGCTTATGGTGAATGTGCTGGGCAAAAGTCCGGGGAGGGAACTTAGCCGGAGATTCAGCTGTCACCGTCTCCGGCAACGGCTTCAGCACGATCTTCTCCTTGGGCGGCTCGCAGAAAACCGCCCACGATATCCTAACCTTCTCCTTGTTCACCAGCCCTCTGTGCAGTATGCTCTTGTAAGCCCCATTGCTCAGTATCTCTAGCGTGTCCCCTATGTGCATTATGATCGAGTTCGGAACGCATTTTGCCGTCACCCATTTCCCCTCATAGAAGAGCTGTAACCCTAATTAACCTCGAAAAAAACACGAGAAGATTACGATAATATTACGTAATATTTGGTTGGAGTTGATCATATATAGCTGTTACGTTTAGATACCCGGAACCATGTTGTGGAGGATGAACGTTAAGGCGCTGACGTCGGTGTGTGCCTCTACGCCTAGGGCTAGCTCCGGTTGAGGGCATTTTGGGTAGTAGTTTATTTTCATCTGTAGGAGAAGCTCTTCCATTCCTCCCACCTCTTTCTCTAACCGCTCAGGCTCGAGGCCTAACCCGACCGAGAGGCACGAGAAGATCTTACCCGCGAGTGCCCTTAGACGCTTTGCGTAGTCGCTTGTCACCTCTCTAAATTTGTTTCGACGATAATGTTCAAAACACATGTATCGTTTTAAATTCAGGATTATAGAAATTTAAGTTGAATCATCGAAGCAACGAATAGAACTCAATTAGTGTCGATAGAAAACTTACGTGTAGTCACTCGGTGTCTTAGGCCAAAGGGACAAATCCCTCTTGTCCTCGGGGAAGACAAGGTGGAAGAAGTAGTCTTCCCACTCCAACTGTCCGCTCGCGTTGTTAGCCAGTTTGCTTCCGTAGCCTTGGATTTTCCCGGCGGCTTGATCGTTTGCATACTTCTCCTTCTCCTCCACCGGCAACCGGAAAAACCCTTCGCCGGATTTCTTCAGCCGCTCGATGAGATCCTCCGGTATCCCGTGGTTGATCAGGTGCATCACCCCCCACTCCATGGCCGCGTTCCTGAGTTCTTCCATGCATTTCCGGCGAACGGTCTCGTCCTCCGAATCGATGGCTTGAAGATCAATGGTCGGAAGCTGAGGGCCTTCTTCGTTCTTCTCTTCCTGGAAGATGTCTCCGATGCTCATCAGCTCTTCCTTTGGCCGAATATACTCCTTGGGGACGGATTCGATCCCGCTGTTCACCAGACTCTCAACCCTAGTCGTTGCCACCATTATTCTTTGATCTCGTAGTCTCCCTCTGAAGTAGAGACTCTGAAACAGGGGAACACACAGACTGATAAGGACAACTCTCTCTCTGTGTTTAGATTTGGAGTAGAAATAATCAATTGGAAAGCTGGTAAGGCACGGAATATAAGCAGAGGAGAGCTACCAAGGGAGTGGTGGGCTGTACACGAAGAGAGGTAAGTGGGAACACGTGAGAAAGTCAACGGGGGAGGGATGTTGGTTGACTGGTTGGTCTTCTCCTCCTCTCGACAGATCATCCATCGGTCAACAGTTCTGTCTTTTGCTTGTGTAATGGGCTTTCTATGGGTCAGCCCACGAAGCCCATCAAGACCGAAATCATTGTCAGCCTCCACGCATACTTTCTTTGTCTAAACACGTGGCACCTCCATAAGTGCCGATCTTCGCTTAAATTTAATTTATGAATTATATTTTAAATATATAATATCACTTTTGTTTCTATAAATATATGAAAGATAAATGAAATGAATTCGAGTCCAAAACCGTTGGAAGGAAATAAACATTGTCCGAAAATGAAAATGGCTGAAAGCCCAACATAAAAACAAAAGGCAACTATTAAATTATTCAGCTTTAACCAGGACTCACCCTACTTATTATAAACCCAATCGCACCTGATTACTGTCTTTCCATTTCGCACCACTTCACTTTACATTTTTCTGTTGATCTTCCAAGATTCCCCCGGGAAGGGGAAAAAATGGAAACTTTTTACAGCGATTTCTTCACTCGCCATTGTTAAATATTCTGGAAGTGAAAAAGGAAAACTTGCTAACCATGGAAGAAGATCCAACGGCGAGCAACCGCAGGATGTTGTCGTCTCGGCAGAATCTTCCGGCGTCGATGGCCCGATCGAAGGTCTCGCTCGAGACCCGTATCAATCGTCTGATCAACGCCAATCACTACACCTCACCGTCGAGGCCGATATACTCCGACAGGTTTATACCCAGTAGATCCGGTTCCAATTTCGAGCTTTTCCATCTCCCTCCGTCGTCGCCCCACAAGGACGGGAAGGAAGATGGGTCCGGTTCGTACGCGAGTCTCTTGCGGGCCGCTCTGTTCGGACCGGATACGCCAGAGAAGAGGGATGTTGTCGGATTCTCTCCGTCGCGTAATATTTTCCGGTATAAGACGGAGACTCAGCGGTCTGCGAAATCGTTCTCGCCTTTTGGCTCCAATGAGGCTCCCGGTGTTAGCCATAGCCCGGTCAAGCCGCCGAGGAAAGTTCCGCGGTCTCCGTATAAGGTGTGTGCGTTGTCTCTAGGGATTGGCTATTGGTGGAACTTCTGTGATTCTTTGATGGTCTGGAATTAGCTTCTGGATTTAGGGTTTGTGGGTCCTTTAGATTGTTGAACATGGCTTCACGAATGTGGATTATATCTTGTGATTTTGTTAGGAACTTGTGGTTTTGGTGAGATTGATCGGTTGTCGGATGGCGTATATACGAAAAATTTGTAATGTAGGGTTGGAATTCTGGGATATATGTAGTCTTTTCTGTAATGGGAGAATGCTAGTTTTTTTTTTTTCTGGTTCTTGCAATGTTTGTCAGTTTGATCAATGATACTCTGTCCTGTGATTGCATCTGCATTATGCGAATGTGGGTTTAATGGGCATTATATCAAAAATACCTTCAGAAGATGATGAAGGACTCTTCCTTGTGTTGTTAGGTATTGGACGCACCAGCTCTGCAAGATGATTTTTACCTGAATCTCGTGGATTGGTCTGGACATAATGTTCTTGCAGTGGGACTTGGAAACTGCGTGTATTTATGGAATGCTTGTAGTAGTAAAGTGAGTGTTTTTTTCCACTTATGGACACATTTACCTTACGCAATACCAATGGCCTCCGAGCATTTTGACTGAGGGATGTTTTCCTTTTGTTTCCAGGTAACTAAATTGTGCGATCTTGGAGCTGACGATAGTGTTTGCTCTGTTGGTTGGGCGCCTCGTGGAACACATCTCGCTGTTGGAACTAGTAACGGGAAAGTACAGGTTAGTTAGGTGTTCAAACTCCTCGTACATTTGCCTTAACTTATGCATTCACATTCTTATGTACTTAGTTTTCTGTTTCCTGAATTGGGACGGAACATTCTGAGGGAAACTACATAGTACTTATGTGGTTAGACTATAAAGTCCAGGTTTCTGTCATCGGCATGCCATAGATGATGTTGTTGCGGAGGTGACACTGACAATGGCAAGCATGTACTTGTAATTATACATTCATTGGATACAATACATTTCTTTTCATGGAAGCTGTATCGTTAGTGGCATTATGGTGAACGTTATAATACTACAAAGATTTGTTCCCGTGATTGGATGATAATGTTGATATATCCTTATAGCATGTAATCAAGTGGTTGTATGTTCTCCCAATCATATCTCGGGCTACATTTAATTGGTCTTTCCAATCTTACAACATTCCCTCGGTTGAAAACCATTCATACTACAGTTTCACGTTAAACCCATGGTGGATAAGATGCAAAATCTCTCTGGTGTTCTTTTGCGGAGGACTGTCTTTAGTATCTTTTCCTCAGATTTCTAGCGGTCGGTCCGGTGGTCTTATATGGGGAATTCTCTTTTCTTTCTCTTATTTAGATATGGGATGCATCACGGTGCAAGAGGACAAGATCAATGGAAGGTCATCGTCTACGAGTTGGAGCCCTAGCATGGGGCTCAGCTGTTCTGTCTTCAGGTAGCAGAGACAAGAGTATTCTTCAAAGAGACATACGGGCTCCCGAAGATTATGTTAGTAAGCTATCAGGGCACAAATCTGAAGTCTGCGGACTAAAGTGGTCTTACGACAACCGCGAGCTAGCCTCAGGTGGAAACGACAATAGGGTATATATTATATTTCGGTTTTTCGTTTTTTTTTTGTTTGAACTTAGGTTCTTGTCTGGTCGTAAAAGCATAATTTTGATGTTTATAAAATTTGCAGCTTTTTGTATGGAACCAACATTCAACTCAACCGGTTCTGAAATACTGTGAACACACAGCAGCTGTTAAAGCCATCGCTTGGTCTCCTCATCATCAGGGGCTTCTTGCTTCGGGTGGCGGTACAGCCGACAGATGCATTCGTTTCTGGAACACGACGACCAATTCTCATTTAAGCTGCATGGACACCGGCAGTCAGGTAAGTCAGCTTATATTGGAATTATGCACACATGTTGCTGGAAGTTTGAGTAGGAAATGTAGAATTTTTCGTGTCGGGTTTTATGTCTAACCGCTCGGTTTATGCATGAACAGGTGTGCAATCTGGTTTGGTCTAAAAATGTAAACGAGCTCGTCAGTACCCATGGATACTCCCAGAACCAAATCGTCGTCTGGAAATACCCGAGCATGTCGAAAGTATGAATCTAAACGCGGTCCTCACATCAATATCTAATTATCACTTGCTCCTCCTTTTGATTCGATATTTTATAATTGAAAAACCATTTTCTTGCTTTCTCTCGGATCTGCAGTTGGCCACTCTGACCGGTCACACGTACCGTGTTCTTTATCTCGCCGTCTCACCAGATGGGCAGGTTGTCTTTCTCTTCTTCTTCTTCTTCTTCCATCTTATATACATTCTCATCCTGCGAGTCTGAAGCTATCTGTTCAAGAACATCAGTAATATGCAAACTTATTATATGGTTGTAACGTAAACCTGCATCTGCATGCATGTGTCCCGTGGATCTTTTGCCGGTCATGGCTTCCATTCCTGCATGCATGCGTGCGTAATTTTTCTGATATTGTGTTTTTTACGTGGGTGCGTAGACGATCGTGACCGGAGCAGGGGATGAAACCCTGAGGTTCTGGAATGTCTTCCCTTCGCCGAAATCTCAGGTGAAGAACTCATTCATTTCTCTGCATCTTTTTTTCCTTGTAATGAACAAAACCTCGATCCTTCCTCCTCCATCCACTGAACTCGATTTGTGCGGTGGAGCAGAACACAGAGAGCGAAATCGGGGCTTCCTCTTTCGGTAGATCAACGATAAGGTGAAAGGACCGATGGCAAATGCAAAGGCTATTCCATTATTAACCGAGTTGGTCTTCTCAACCAACTCGGTAATGTTAATAACTCGCGAGTTGCGGGATCAGTGGTTCTTGCAGAATCGTTTTCCCGTGTACAGGTCCGGGGTGCGTTCTTGAAGAGTTGTTGTCGATTAGGCTGATTTTATTATTTGTTTATTTGTTCATTTGTTGTAAGCGTTCGTCATATTCTTCCAATTTCAAAACCATATACTAAAATTCGCCATTCTGAAATTATGAGCCTGAGATATAGGTAGGCACATCTATGGTTGGGTTTGACTATTTTTATTTTTAAATTTTCGATTTTGATAAATTATATATATTGGATTGGATTTATATTCACAAAAATGTTTATTTTTAAAAATAGTTATTTTTCTATTACATTTAGTTTCATTTATAAAAGTAAAATTGTACACTCTATTTGATATTAAATCTATTTAACATGAAACTATATATTATATGATTTTTAATCATACCAATTGTATAAACGCCTGGGGTGGTAGACGTACGGTAGAGAGAAAACTTCACGTGGAGACAAAAACTGCATCGCCACTCCTTTTTCCGTTGGGTTTTGAAAAATCCTTTTCTTGCACGTTTCTTTTTTCTTTCACATGCTTTCTACTTTTAGAATATAATCCAGATTTTTTTTTATATATAATTCTTTATCTCATGTAATATATCAGGTTTCTTTAATATTTTTCATGAAGTTTGAAGAGTTTATGGATTCGAATTTTATTACAGAAAATTTATGTCAAAATAGAGATTGTTAGGATATGATGTAAAAGTTTTCGGCTTTAGAAAAAATAAACGAAACTTTCAGTATGATACGCAAAATTTGTTTTTTTTTTTTTGGTAAAAACCAAAATTGTTTTAGAAACCTTTTTTTTCATGTATTTTAGAAAATAATGCCGTTGTATCGAAATTAATATTTATTCTAGAGTTTACAATCGAATTCTTTTCCTTTATCCATATATTCTTCTATTTAAAAATTTTCACGTAAATCTCTATATTTTGTGATTGTTTTATTCATCTTGTTTTTATCGTTACCTCGTTTTCTTCTCCACTAATTGTACGTCATCATCTCATACGCATACAGCAAAATTTTAAAAATAAGTTATAAAAAAAATTAAAAATAACGATAATAATAAAATATTCCGTAAAAGTCGACCACCCACCCACCAGCAATTTGTCTGTTTCCAAAGAAAGAAAACAATATCACGTAACATTGGTTTGAAGTCCACAATGTCAAAGATTCTATTACGTGTGATTTCAATCCATAATGGCACAACAGACATCAAACACTTCAAATACTAAAATTTAAAAAAAAATTGCTAAAAATGGTTATGTACATGGTCAATTTCTAATACTTTTTTTTTTTAATGAAAATTTCTAAAACTTACCATGCATGGATGGAAGAGAAGAGACATAGTTCTTAACATGATGATGATGATGATGCATGCACATATCTATCTACCATCACCAACCCTATACACACCAACCACCCAAAGATCCTAGCCTCCTTTCGTTCTTCACTCTCCGTTATGAGTTCCCTGGGTTCGCCGGAGAAATTCCCTCCGGCTGGGCCCCACAGTCACCGCTTTCTTCTTCTTCTCCACCGCGGTGACTGTGAGACCACGGGATCGAGCTGACCGGCGGGAAACAGCAGTCGCATTCCCCCTGGCACGACGGCTCCGGCGGGAGGATTTCACGGCCGCCGTCGGGGGAGGCGGCTCGCCAGAGCGGGCCCCAGCACTCGACCCTGTTGAACTCGGGGATGTTGGAATGGAAGTAAACCCACACAAGAGCTTCTTGTAGCTCGGGGTAGTTGTTCAACAAGTTACCATCTCCATGCACAAATGCCTTCAGCACCTATCATATACAAAAACACAAATACCTATTGTAATAAGAAGAAGACCTAAGCTTTAAAGAAATGAACTGACAAGAAAACGGATAAGAGGAAGTCTACATATACATACAACGGGTAACTCTTTGCAGAAGATGAAGTAGCGGAGATTGGCGAAGAGGTCGAGAAGGAAATGGCCGCCGCTGATGTGGCAGTGAACGTGAAGAGACATTTTCCCCTTCACTTTCTTCCATTCGGCCACCACCTCGTCCCTGTACAACCTGTTCGCCCATCCCTGCAGCTGGAAAACCCAGTATATACACACATATATATATATATATACATATGAATGTACTCATATTGGTTGATTATATAGTCTATGGGTATGTTTAAGAGGAGAGGGTATTTTTAATTTTACCTGGGAATTGTTGATGGAGTGGGAGATAGCTAGGGTTAGTCTGGCAGTAACATCGCTGTGAGTGAGCGTGTAAGTTCTTGGAAGAGTTGATGGGTGCTTCTTCTCGTCAACTCCTAAGAACAACACTTTCAGTTTGGAAGCTTCGAAAATCGCCGGTCCGAACAGCCTTGCAACCTGAATCAAAGAGGAATTTGCGAGAGCTCATTAAAAAAAGCTTGAATTTTGATTTCTGGGTTTCTTCAAGAAATAGAACAAAACTTCAGAGGGATTAGCCAGTATAACTCGTGAAGAAATCGAGTTTAGAGACTTCCAAAAACAGAGTTAACTGTAGCTGATTACGAAGACAGAGGAACACGGAGTTTTCCCGGAAAAGGCCATAAAGTTTCCTGAGAAGACGATCGAAACCTTACAGGAGCGATGGGTTTGTTCTTTCTCTTGGATCTTCCGCTGGTCACGAAGAACGAGCTCCTCTGTTTATCCGAAGGTTTCAGCTTTACAGGGAGCAAGAGATTCGCCGCCAAACTACACATCTCTCCCCCTCTCTCTCCCTCAGATTCAAAGATCCAATATTTCGGATATGGGCAAGCCTAAATACAGAAACCCTTTTGCGCGAATCGATCAATCTCACGCGATTCTTGCGTGCCCAACACTGGAACCCAATCAAAGTTCGTAACTTTAAACCCAAATCGATTTGCTTTTGCTTTCGCTTTGATTTTGCTCTCTTTTCTTTTGTCCCCAATTTCTTCCCGGAATTTGAGGGTTCTTGAAGCGTGTAGGGTTAAACAATCACCGAAGCGGGTTAAAGGGTCGTTGCTTCACATTCCAGACTTCTGTGACAAGAGGGGATAGTGCCACGTGGCATCGTATTTCCACATTGCAGGAATGTGTCTTCGAAAAAAGCTGACGAGAGGCTCAAAGGGGCCGTCTTATTCGGTCCCAATCGGCTTCGGATAAGCACGCACCGGACGGTCGTACACAAGACCCTAGACTCGATTCCGGTTAAGACCATTACCCAACCGGTTCGACTGTTAGACATTTGAGTTAAGGGTCTCTCTGTTTTTTATTTCCTTTTTGGTTCTTAAAAATGAGTGGACAAAAAACATCAAACATGAACAAGATGTATCTATGACCAAAGAAACTATCCACTGTCCAGAAGATGAACACAAACACTGGATCACCTAGCAGAAACAGATGCAGGCAAGTGTTGTGAGCCATTTGTTGAAGCATCTCCTCTGTTCTCCCGACCACATATGATCTCCAAGAACATCACTCCGAAACTGCAGATGTCGGATTCAACCGAGAACAGGGTCGAATCACGAGATTTCAGAAACGAATCAGGCAAACCCATTTGACGAACTGGAAGCTTTCCCATGCGTTTGTTCCCCTGTTCAGTCTCTGGCTGATGATGCATTCTCACCTCGGAGAAGAGGGTGTACTGTCCTTGTTAATGCTAATTCCTTCACAGTTATGGGTGTTCTTCTCAGATTTCCATTGGAGTGGAAGATATTCACCTCGGTTTCATCGTTGATGTTCTTGTTCTTAACGGGTTGCATTTCTGTTGCAGAAGAATCTGGAGTAGTACAAGTCCTGTCTTCCTTGAACGAGTTAGAATCATCGTATCTCTTATCCGAGTCCTGAACCTGTTCCTGCATATTGCATCTGTCTCTGTTTTAGATCTCTGCCAGTTAAACAAGAACACCAAAGATTCTTGCTCAACACTACAGAAGATGCATCATTACCTGCGTTGGCGTCGCGAAAGATGATGCATCAGCTACAGATGGAGGTTTGGCTACTCTTCTAGTTTGAGAATCTTGTTTTCTTGCTCCTTTTCCGCGCATTTCAGCATCGATCTCCTTGCTGGGAGGGTATTTCGGTAGACAAGATGGATCACAAGGGAATGGTTCTGTTCTGAAGTACTGCCCCTTGGTAACAGCAAGAACATCAGAAAGAAAGAATGGCTCTGTCATGAGAGAATCACCAGACATGGACAGAAGAAAATGTGAATTCATGTACCTCGCTCTCTAGAGCACTAGCTGCAGTGCCCCGAGAATCAGGATCTATCGAGAGCAAGGTCTCGAGAAGCGAAATAACCGGAGCTGGAAAGTTCTTGAACGTCTCTGCGATTCTCGGTCCGTATGGAAACGTTGGTCTGAAAGCTGTTGAAAACGGCAGCTTCAGTTTCCTCCAGTAATCCTCTGATGGCGACCCGCATAACTCGAATATCTTATGCAGTTGCTCTGCCTGAAACTCGGGTATTTTGACTTACCAAAAGATGAAATCTGGAAGAACAAGATCGATAAAGAACATGCAAACCTCAGATTTTCCAGGGAGAATAGGTTTTCCAGCGTATAGCTCGCCTAATACGCAGCCTGTGCTCCAGAGATCGACCCCTACATCATAATGAAAGGCTCCGAGCAAAAGCTCGGGGGCTCGGTACCAAAGAGTAACGACGTGGGTAGTCAATGGAACACTGTTCTTGGGATCGAAAAACGTAGCTAACCCGAAATCTGCAATCTTCAAGATTCCATTACCGTCTATCAGAATATTCGAGCTCTTGATATCGCGATGGAGAATGTGGTGACTATGACAGTGATCAAGGCCGGTTAGAAGCTGTTTCATGTAACATTTAACCTAAACAGAAGGAAACAAAAGGTGGGTCTGAAGGTAAAATGTGGTTGCTGAAGTTGGAGAAGTAAACAAAAAAAAACAAGACAGATGACCTGCGGCTCTGAAAACTCGGCGCCGTGTAATGAAGAAAATCCTGCCAGGTCATGATCCATGTACTCGAAAACGAGGTAGATGCTGGACGAATCTTGGGAAACCATCACTCCTTCCAGTTTGATTATATTTGGATGATCGAGTTTCCGCAAGATTATGATCTCTCTGGCAATAATCTTGATGCTTTCTGAATCGTTTGTATCGAACCGAACCTTTTTCAACGCCACGATCTTCTCATCGAGAAGATCCCGAGCCTTGAAGACGCTACTGAACGTTCCCCGGCCAATCTGCGGGAGAAACATGGAACTTTTGATCAAAGTAGAAACCAGAGAAGAACATGACAGCATCATCTGTGCATATGCGAACTGAATATCCAAACTGTCATTTTCAGACACAACTGAACTGACTATACTTCATGGTTGCAGATCAATACAACAAGACAGTGCATACTTGGTGCAGCTTCACGAAGTGACTCTCACGGCGAGGAACCCATCCGGCGAGAGCCTCTCCGGCGACGGAGACCAGCCATTCCGGCCATCCCACCGCCGCAGCCGCCGCCTCCGGCGAACCCCGATGAGCATCAAGAAGAACAACGCTCTCCTCTCTTCTCGGCTCCTTTGGAGTAGGACCCAACAGCACTTGATAATTCTGATCACCAGTTTCGGACATTTCTGGAATCTTCCTGGCCTGAATCCGACCACCCATTGTTCCCGACGAGTGCATCCACGACGGGCCTTTTTCCGGCGACCTTTTTCGCGGCGGCTTCTCATCGGAGCGATCTGGCTTGGAAACTAAGCAACCCATATCGTTCTCCCACACATCTCATTACATAAACTCCATACGCAGAGAATATCGAAAGATCAGGAAAAGAGATGGCGATTAAAGTGAAAAAAAATAAAATAAAAGTTGATGGCATGAGGAATCCCACATCGCCATAATCGACGAGGACGACAACTCGTGTCGAGCTTTCTTCGAGAGAACACTAAGGATCTTGATATGAATGAATTTAGTTATGAAGGTTAATCGATCAGTTCACTCTTAATTAGCGGTTGGACTTTGATATCAACAAAATCTTATGACACGTGGAATTAAATTCGTTATATTCATTTCTCTATTAATTGATTGGTTATATAATCATATATGGTGGCAAAATGCTTTATATTAATTTTTTGGGAATATTTCTCTTTCTATTTAGCGTTTTTGGAGTTTTGTATTATTATCAGTTTTATTTGATTAATGATAAAATTAAATTGTAGCTTTCAAGTTTAAGGAATAGAATTATTTAAATGCATAGTTTTTTTAATGTAATAGTTTAAAGGGTAGTTTTTTAACCGTGATGATTTAAGATTTTTAGTAAAATTATCTGATTACATTATATATTTAAATTCAATTAATATCAATAACAGTAATTACCTAACATTTTTTTTACACAGAGGAACATTATATACATACCCAACTCCGAATTTATTCGAGTATTCAGATTTCTTTTTTATGTGGATGCCACATTTTAGACGTTCGTACATTAGTTAAGATCCCTCCTTCTTCCAAAGGAGAACGGGAATCAAATAAAGCTCCAAGTGTATATATATATATATATATATATATATTATTCATAATGATTTACTAGGGTTTTTTTGGTGAGTCTTGTCTCGGGGGTCCAATGGACAAATCGGTCACCACCTCGTTGTCATCTATCTTCTTCGCCGCTTCTACTTGCTTTGCTTGTAATCCTCCTCTTGCACTCATTCCGCACTTCAATCATCCATAGTAAATATATAATAATAATCATATTAACATATCGTGAATCTTTACAAATTATACATATATATATTTTATCGATCATATATTATATTTTACGGAAAACCCCCAATATTTAAACGTAAAAGACAAATAATATATATTGGATTCGAGAGAAATTGTCATACCTCCTCCATTAGCTTTTTATTTTCTTCAAGCAAGTTCCTTTCCTAAGGTTGCGAGGAGGAAAGCATGAGTGGTTAAGTGAATAGATTTCAATAATAAATATATATATATATATATATATATATATATATATAAGTGTATGTGAAGTTTACCTCTTCCTTTAACTTCTCAATCTCTTCGAGGAATAACTGATACTGATCAATGTAAAACAAACAAATTACAAACATTAATCTTTGTAGTAAAATAAAAATAACTGTTAAGTAAGTTTTGTGAAAAAAGATCAAACCGTATTTACGTTCAGCCAAACCAGACAAAGGACCAAACGATGTGAATTAGGGGTTCCAGTTCGGAACTAAAAATGGATTTTATTGTTTAAAAAAAAAGTATATTAATGGAATTCAAATCAAATAAAAAAATGAATAGAAGAAGTAAATTTACAAAAAAAAAAATGAGATTTTTTAAGTGAAAATCGAATCCGAAATAAAAATCGAATGAATACGAAAATCAAATCAAACCAAAACCCATAAATGTACACCCCTGTTTCAAACCAGTTCCGAGCTTAACATTCTATGTGAATTATATGATATAGGTATATTCAAACAACTATTCTCACGTTATTTAATTAATAAGGTAAATCCCATTAAAATTTCTAAATTTGTAAAATGACGGAGAACTAATTCTTCATAAGCCAATAGCCAAATATTATGCATGTACATATATCACATTACAATCGTAAGTATTGTGTCTTGTAATATGCATATCATCATCATCATCATTAAACATTGATCTTATGACTACGTATAGAATCTGAGGCAAGCAATGACAGTCCTCATCATCATCATAATGATTATATCCTAACATACATGCTTGGTAGCACCACCATACTATATATATATAGGTAGCATAAAACGATCGTAAAATTTGATCATATATCAGCTTAGAAGACTGTCGGTCCATAATACGATATATATATATATATACAAAAGTATTGTCGTTTACCTTTCTGGCCCTTATTCTGGTCAAGCTTCGTTCCAACTGGTTCTCCAATTGTTGGAGCTCCTCGACAGAAGATGCCTCGAGTCTTTCTCCAAGCATTTTGCTGAGATTATTTCATTTTCCAAATTAAACAATCGTATTTTTGTCAGGAAAAAATATCTTACTATATACCTAAATTTATGTCATCGATATTTTTGTTTTTGTTAAAGATTATATCATCGATATTAATCTCTATATCATTCGATTTTTTGCAAACCGTTTGGAAATCTCAAGCTGTTGGATCTTCCTTTCAAAGCCGTGTGTTTCGCCCTTTGCTGGCTGCCAAGTGAACGACACAGTCCTTAATGTGACAAATTATAAAATTTTATAAAAAAAAACCCTCAATGCATAAAATTAAATTTACGTGAAGTTACTACTAATTAATTTCATGGAAACTAATAATTATCATAACCTAAAACTTCGAACTCTAAAACATTGTATAAATTTGTGTGTTTAAGCCGAAATTAATTTTCCAATTTCATACTTGCAAATTTACAAAAGCAAGCTAAGTTCATCTATCCATAAAATATATCAGTTTTCCGTACACGATGCATGAAATGAAATGAGAATATAATGATGATAATATTGAAACTTAGATATATATATATATATATATATAAATACCAGCGAATTGGCATTCCCCTTGCTATTAGTCACGAGATCCTTCGTTCGTTTTTGGTATCGCTCTATTGTTTTTGTCACGCTGAAATGTCGTAAAAATATAGTGTCATCTATTAAAATTAAAATCATATATATTTCATTTTAAAAACTATTAAACATTTTTAATCGGGTTCGCTTTATATATTCAAATCTGGAATTTAGGAATTTCAGAACTCGTTAATAATTAATTATAAGCAATGCATCAACCATCATTATTACTTATGCATATCATGTAAAAAGAGGAACAAAGAGAATCAATCTTGTTGTCGGTTCATAGCATAAAGTTAACTTGGTTCCCAAAAGTTAGGATATGATCTCAGGTTTTGAGGAATATTATTGTCTTAATTATTACTACCCTAATAAATTTACAAGCACGTCAAGTAAATAATTTCTTACACTAAACAAAAATACAAAAAAAGGGCACTGTTAACCTAAAAATTAGTAACCGATTAATATAATTCAACACGGCAGATAATATATATGCATATATATACACAGAGAACTAGACAGATGCATATATACACGTATTTGTGCGTAGTCTCTACAGATATTAAAATTGACAATTGTGACTCCACAAGGCCCTTTAATGAAATAAAAACATTGGGTTAACCGCTAAATGTATGGTCATTAACACCTAGTTAATGGTGATTAACCCCACTTGGGAATGCTTACAGAATATGATAATATATATATATATACACATATATATGTAGAGAGAGAAACACGTCTTTTTTAAATCATATTTAAATAAATCATAATTATATAAAACCGGGAAAAAATTAAAATTAAAGATGTATTGCATAAAAAGAATCAATATACTCTGATATGATTCTATATATACACATGCCAACTCAATTACTTGTCATGGCTTAAATAAAAGCAGTTTACAATCTGTAGGCGAAAAGTCTAGCAACTCGCTCTTTGTTGCCACCATATTTGTTCAAGCACACAGGCACATACATAACTAAGTTCTAACATAGAGATGCAATACATACATACATACATATATATATATATATACAAGTACACGTGCACACACACATATAATATAAATCTGTATAAATTCATGTATACTTAAATGGAGCGACACTAAAGATATTTGATCGCTATCTTCGTGATATCCTATTTTATTGGACTATATTTTATCTAAAAAAACTGAGTTTGTCAATAACATCACAAAATATACGATTTCAGACATATCTTGTAGATCAAATATTTAAAGACATATGTACACATGAATATACTTTGAACATAGAAATTAATCATATAAGTAGATATGTGGGTGTATATGTATACATAATAATTAGCTAGTATTCATGGTTATTAGATTATGTGTATACATTATGAGCTTAAATATATACACTAAGCAACCTTTGTTTTTAAAAATTTTGCATACATGATAGTTATAGTTTTTTTTCTCTTACCATGTTAATTTTTTTTTTCGTATTTTGCAGAGGTGCTAATATAAGTTGATCAAACACATTCTATCAAGGATTGAGCCGGCCATTTGATTCCTTTTTAATTCATCATTATTAACTTATAACTAACAAAACCCAAATTTAGGTAGTTCAACCGGTGAAACGGGATGCAAAACGTCTATTCACCCGAATTCGAACTTGAAATTTGGAGAAAGAGCATATAATCCAAATCACATGGCTGATTTTCGGTTATGAAATTAGTCTGGACCTCGGTGTAGAATATTACCCAAAAAAAAACTTATAACTAACAGAATTTTCAGAGAATGTATATATAGTCTCATCCTTGCATAGAAGTGAAAGACCTCCATTCTCAAGTTGCTAGCGCACGCGCGCGCACACACTCTATATATATATATATATATTACGGTACATACATGTGCATATACATCAATATAAATCGACTGACACATATGTACATGTATTATGCAGATGTAAGAGTACATACACAGGCACTCAAAGGTAGATATACACACACGTCTAAAGAGGGGAATTAATTGGCTAAATGGTGAATCCCACAAGTAAAAAAAAAAAAAGAAAATAATATCTATCTTATGAAAAAAAAAATCATGTTATTTAATTTTGCCTAATTTGAAGTGAAACTATTTGCCCTAACAGAACCCTATGCTCTCGAAGCTATTGCCAAAAATAGACAGCTTTGTATGAAGTTGTTGGTTCTCCAAGTGTTTGGTTCTATTGACAGAAATGGATAATGTCATTACATTGAAGATCTGAAAATATCAGAACAATGAAGAAACTATTAGAAGCTGTGATCCATTTTTGTCGGTTCGGTTCTGTGTTGGAGTTTTTTTATACAGATGACTATTGGGGAAATTAAATGATATATATAAAAAAAAAGATCAATCACGAAGATTTAACCAAAATGAAGATTAAAACGATCATATATTCTAATAGAAACGCACACATCACCAGTCAACACTCACCGGCAATGAGTTGCTGATTCAAGAAGCTTGCCTACAATACATGTATAGATCATTGCACACTAACATATACATATACATACACTATTATAATATATACACACACCCACATCTAAACATCTTGGAATATAACGATAACATATAGATGTTACAAGGATTGATAATTTGTGGTAAATGTGATGTGGATGGTCATTCAAAAGTCTAATTAAACCAAAAGTAACTTTTACGGTTTATATCTGCTTATTTTCTCGAAAATTGATCAGATCCCAAAATGAATATCTTTTTTTTTTAATCACTACCAAGTAAGATTAAACTTATATAGGTTCAATTTACTATTTTGGCAGGAAATTGGACTCGATCTTGGATTCAATGAACTTCCCTTTTCTCCAATCTATAGGGGATCTTGACATGTATGACATAAACAAATCAATTCCAGACACATAACACATCATATTATAAGCACATATATGAGCACATATGAAATCACATCATGATACACACACATACAGACATATATATATATATATATATATATGTATGCATAGTAAAAGGGGGTATTAGATGAGATGGGGGATTTACCTAGAGCTAGAAAACTCGTAGAGTTTTCCTCTGGGGGAGAAAACAATTAGGGCAACCTCAGCATCACAAAGGACTGATAACTCAAAGGCCTTCTTGAGAAGTCCGTTCCTTCTCTTGGAGAAGGTCACTTGTCTGCTTGTTGCATTCTCTATCCTCTTCATCTCCGTCTTCCCTCTCACCATTCCCTCTTCTCTTTCAAATTTCTTTTTTTTTTTATAAAAAAAACAGATACCCAGAAACGAAATTAGATCCGATTACATAACACAGACGACATCATGAGAAACCGAAAAAAGAGATTAAAAAATCGAAATTTCTCACCTTCAAGAACGAAAAAAGTACAAGAAACACGATAACAATGAAGATATATGGACAAAAAAATTCCAACAAAAGACTAAGACAGATTTGGAAGTACTTACCCTGCTGTATATATATGGAGAGAGAGAGAGAGAGAGAGAGGGAAGATATACCTCAGTTTTTTTTTTGCTGAGAAAGGAAATGGCAAGTTCTTTGAAAACCCTAGATTTATGATGGATATGATAGGATAGGTTTCTTTTCTTTATGCAATAGATAATAGCTTTATATATATTTTTAGATTTTTTAATATAATGTTATATGGAATATTTCCCCCCTAGCTATAATGGTCTACAACCCTAGCCTATGAGCTTTAGGAGTACGGAATATATTGATTATGGAAACAGCATTACACGCTATCTTTCTTCTTTTGGTAAATTTTTTGATGCAAAGAATAAGTTCCAATCGCAATGACATTAGACGGTAAAACTAAAAATATATAATTTACTTTTCTTTAGATTTTAAAATGTATCTGGTGGCAAAGTCCTTATCGCCAATTAAAAAAAATATTTATTCATAAAGACCACTCTGAATTATTTAAACAAGATATTTTTTAGTAGTTTTACCATTCAGTACAACTGATTATTTAAAAAACCTAAAAAGATTACTAGATAAGAATTTATTCCACTATTTCGGTTTGAGTCCGTCCATATCTATGATATTAAATTTTTTATTGTATTTAGTTCTCTCTTATGCTTCCATTTTTTTTTTGTTTTCTAGATTCGTATTTTTTATTTTAAAAATACTATACCTTTCATTTTTATATAGAATTTTAGTTCCATTCTATATATATTCTCTTTACATTAAAATATGTTTACTTTTAAAAAATCGATTATAATTATCTTCATATTTCAGCTAATTTGATTTTAAAATTATAAATTATTTTATTATATTTTATATCCTCGAATCTCATGTCACTAGAGATGTAAAACGAGTACAGTTCACGAACCGATTCATATTTTTCGAGATGGATTCAGAATATTTAAACAAAAAAAAGGTCAAACGAGCTAACTCGTTGAGCAAAAAAATATTTTTTTAAAATTTTTATATATTTTGTATAAAAATTATATTTTTATTAGATATTTAGTTTATTTTGTTTAAAATTTTATGGTTACAGTTATCTATATATGTCTATCGTTTAGTAACGGATACTCGGTCGACGAATCACCATTTTCTATGAGATAGAAAATGTTATATACTTTCTTATAAAACCCACGAAAATGAGATTGGATATCTCTAAAATCGTGGATATACGACCCATGTTACCCCTCCCTAAGTAATTCTTTGCGCATGTCCCGATCCATGGTTTCAATGGAATATATACGTAAATGGAATATATACGTAAAAAAAAAGAAATATATACGTTAAGTGCAAAACTACGTGGACACACACGCACACACATATGTATATAGCGGCGTACGTACGCGCATATATATATATATATATAGAGAGAGAGAGAGAGAGAGAGAGACTGACAGAAATGAGAATCTTAGATGTGAGGTTTAACCAACAGAGTGTTACTATTAATTAATGATCTGGCAGAGTTACCTCTTCGGGGTAATTAGAGGCAAAGGAGAAGGGAACGGCTGAGATTGAGACACGTGTCACGATGAACGGAGAACTGGGAAGGCCGGTGTCCGTGAAAGTGGGTTAAAACCGAAGCATGAGAAGACAGCCAACAGCGCTGTCGGTTGCCAGCTCCTCTCGGACACGAATCTTTACCACAGTACAAAATCTACACCACTAAAAGCAATTTATTTCAATTTTATTATTCTAATATTGAAATGTAATTAAATATGACTTTTTTTTTTCTGTAAGATGTGTTGGAATTAAAAAAAAAAGTTTGTATTATTTTTGTGTTGTATTTTAAAGATAGTAACACAGATAAGATCATTGCCCACTTTAGATCCAATTAAAATGAATTAAATAAAAAAAAATAAGAAATGCTTATTTGATTGAATTGAAAGCTACAATATTTATCGAAAATAATGATATCAGCTTTAAAGAGATAACTCATCATTTAAAATTAAAAGTCGGAAGAATAATTAAAATTTATACTAATTTTTTTTTCTTATATGTTTCCGGTTATTATAACAGCGACCATACCACCACACCGTGTAAAATGGGACAGTGACAGACCAATTATATATTAATACGTGTCAACCTATAATGGTCACCGTACATTGTCACGTGGTAGCTCGCTGCTCTCTCTTTTTTTTTTTTTACTTTATTCCTTTTATTTTTTTCCTCCTTCCAGAAGATATTATTAAGCAAGTGGATAACCACTATTGGATGCTTTGCAAAATAATAATTTTAAACGTTTATTATTTACTATTATATATCGTTACACGTGTCCACATGCTTGGATGACTTACAAAGTAGTTCACTGAGTCGCGATATTGTATTAAATTAATCTTTATCTATTTTTTTAAAACAATTTTTTTTGATCTAATCAACCTGAAATAATAGTTATATTTTGTTAATTGAAGAATTAATTTTTAATATTGCCTTGCCCACGAATGAATTATGAAAGGCTCTAGTTCATATTTTGTCCCTTTTTTCTTCATTTATCTCCTCTCCTCGGGTCAACATCATATACATATGTATATAGAGCAACATACCCATTTACCGATATCTTTGCCCCGATCGAAGTTATAAAGTTATAAGTTTCCCTTTTGTTTTTCCAATAATATAATTTTACACAACATTAGGGATGGCCCTTTTAGTGCGGTTTTTCGGGGTCAAATGGTCCCGTTCGATCTGAAATCGTCAATGTTATTAATTTTAATAAAATTGAATTTTTCAAAATCGAACTAAAATTTTAAAAAACCCGAAAAACTGTTTTTTAAGAAGATTTGATTTTTTTTAAATAAAAACTAGAATCAAACAGTATATAATTTTGGTATTTATTTGTATAAAATGGAAAAAAATTGAATGGAATCCGAATGGGATCCACTTTGGTAAATGATAGTGGGCATGTTGACATACTTAATGGGCCGAGCTCTTGACTAATGGGCATTATCATTCCTTAATGGGCTTACAGTGGAATATCAATGTTGCGAATATAAGGAGAACGTCTAAATAGAAGTTGTGATTACAGCGAATAATGTGTTGTTAACACTGGGATTTATTATGATCCAATGAAAATTAAATGATTAAATGCATCCGTAGCACACCTTAATCTGACTTTCGATATGCATTATATTCTTAAGATTTATTTTTTACAATAGTTTTGATTTTTTTTACCTTTGTTTGCCATATATATATATATATATATATATATGTATGAAAAAGGATATAAAACCTCATAAATTATACTCTTTCACATTTCTTGTAAGAATATATCTCTGTAACATTTATTTATCTATTTTTTAGAGGTCAACGAGATATGTTTGGCACACGAAAACTTAGTTTATAAGAAAAATCAAAACTTGTGGTTCTCTTATTATTTTGTATATGTTGCAGAAAAACTTAAAATTAAAATCGAAGATGCTGCATCGATACAATTATCCATTTTTTTTTTACAAATTTCTGTTAATTACGTATTCGTTGGAATTCCAGAGGAGGGTTCAATTTGCGAAATATAAAGTACGGTGCTTAAATTAAAGTATTGTAAGATATAGGGGTTTAATTGAAGATGATGGTAATTGCGTGGAAGCTTTTCGCAGGAAAGAGGGGG